CCTGCTCACCCCCGCCAGTTTCTATAGCTTGTCCTAATACTAGCCCCAGAGGGGACTGTCACTTGCCTCTCTCTGTTCCCAGGCATCGTTCACTCGGTTGAGGCTCAGCACATAGCCATCCTTTCGGTCTCTGTTGATGTCCTGCAAGGCAAAGCCAGCGACTGCCAGCACGTCTGAGTCATTGCAGCGCCGGGGGACCAGCCGGGGGGGAGGGCCAGGCGGACCGGGCGGAGACCTAGCCCCACAGCACAGGGCTAGAGAGCAGAGCACCAAGGGTAGCAGCAGGCCCATTCTGTGGGGGAAAGGCCCAGGATGGGTCAGTGTTGGAGCCACAGGAACTGACCGGCTTGTGGGGCTCTCTGAGGCAGGTTTGAGCAGTTTTGTAATTATGGTCTGAACCAGGATGACTGGAGTTGAAACTGTCTCCTCCTATCACAGTGCATTTGAAACGAATTTTCCTGAGTCAGTACTTTGGGTCGGATTTGCCAGGCTTTCTAACCTTAGACCTTTGAGCAGCGTCATATTCATGGGTGCGTGTAAACAAACTGGTTTCCAAACATTTCCGTAAGAAATCATGAAAAACATTTGGCTGAGGGCAAGGCTCTTATGACTGGATTCCACTCTGTGTCTAGGTCCCCTCCTGAATCAGAATAAGGAAGACCGTCACCTCCCCATCTCCAGTGGCACATTCCCTACAGAGATCTCCCTGGCCACACTCATACAGTGGTTACCTCAGGCAGGAGCATGGGCTTCCGGTCCTGGGGGGGTTTGGTGAGTTCACACTTCGGGGTCAGCGTCCTGTGCTTCATGCTCTTGTTAGATCAGGAAGGTGGTTTAACCCACAGTCACCTCGCAGCTGCACAGTTGAGAATTCTTAAGCACTTTGGACATCTTGATGACAAGTGTTTTATTTGGAGTATTTAGGTTCTTCTAAATCAAAGACTTCTAAGGAAAAACATGAGTATGGTATTAAAAGTTTTCTCACCACAGCGCCCAGCTATTTTGTTATTGCATTGTGGCCTGGGCCAGGTTCGAACCTACCACCCTCAGTATACAAGGCCTGCACTCTACTCACTGAGCCACAGGCACCACCCAATTGACTAATTCTAATTTAGTATTGAGGACACATGGTGTTTGTTTTCCCATTCTTGAAGTATTTCACTTACTTAAAAAGAAGGTCTCTAGTTCCATCCTAGAGCACCATTTTTATGTGGCTGAGTAGTACTCCATGGCACACACATACCACATTTTACTAATCCACTCATGTGTTGATGGCACTGGGTGGTTTCCACATTTTTGTGATTGCAAATTTTGCTACAATAAGCATTTGAGTGCAAGTGTCTTTTCTTCCTTTGGGCAAATGCCTAGTAGTGGGATTGCTCCACCAAATGGTAGATCTTCTTTCAGTTCTTTGCGGAATCTCTGTACTACTTTCCATAGAGTCTGTACTGGTTCGCAGTCCCATCAACAGGGTATGCGTGTTCCTCTCTCTTCACTTCCATGCCAGCACTTGTTGTGTGGAGACTTTTTGATAACAGCCATTCTCTTCAGAGTTAGTTAACTTCTCATTGTGGGCTTTTGTTTGTTTGTATAGTTTTTTTTTTTTTAATTGGTTGGGATTCATTGAGGGTACAAAGGATTAGGTTACACTGACTGCATTTTTAGATAAAGTCCCTCTTATAATTGTGTCCCACCCTCAAGAGATAATCCTACCCATTCTTAAGGATGGAACCAAAGCTTTCTCCCATCCGATCTTGATAAATCTTCTTTGATTACATTGCTCCAGTGATTTTACTACTCACTTATCTCTGGAATATTGTTGGGGCTCAGAAGATGACCCCCTAATGTACAGGGCCTTGGCCTGCTGAGGGTTGTGAAGTGACGGAAACCGAAGGGGCCTCAGGAACAAGCTGTCTGCCTTTCACTCGCCCCCTTTCTCCTACTCCTTTTCCTCCCCAAGGAAAACCATAGAAACCACAACTTCACTTCCCAGGCTGGTCACAGGCACTAGAAACCCTCTCCTCAAAGCAGCCATAAAACCTAGAAAAAGGACAGTACCCTCCCCCCAGGCTCCTGTGAAGGAGCTGCCAAAGAGAAATTCTCTGAGGCACTCTGCGTGGTGGTGGTTACTAAGACCTCCCTTCCAGAAGGGTCCTGTCCCATACTTGGGAAAAAGGGATTCCACACGGAGAGGCCAGGAATAACTTAAAGACAGGTCTTGCTGAGTTTTCCCCCCTAGTCTTTTGCTGTTAGACAACTCACTTTATCTAACCCCATTTCCACACTGCTGTGCACCCTTCACGGAATGTAAGCATAAAGACAGATAGTCTTCCCCTGGGTCTTCTGATCTTCCTTCCCAGGAAGGCTCCCAGGCCATTGAAACTTTAGCTAAATAAATATGCTATTTATTGTTTGTGTTTGCTTGCTTTTGTTAAAGGAGTGTTGGCCATGACCTTATATAGGTGGAGAAAGACATCACACCATCTTGTCACCTCTTTTTCACGGTGTCTTTTGTTCACCAAGCCTAGGCAACCTGTTGGGTAGAATTAGATGATTCAGAGAGGGAAGGCCTACAAGTAGGTGAAAGACAAGGGTGAACCCTTCAGAGATGTTTGCCTTCAAGTCTTATCCCCACTCCCACAAGAGAAAATCAGATTGAATTTTTTGTTGTTGGTGGTGTGATCTCTAACTTGACAATTTAATCTCCTTGAGAGCCCCTAGAAAAGAGGGGCCGATGGGGCCGGGGTGGTGGCCTTGCAGTGGGGCAGCAGGAACGGGAATGAGGCAGTAAAAGCACCTGGACTCCAGGCTAGTTCTGCGACTTGACCACTGTGTGACCCCCAAGAGAGTCAGGGTCATGTAACTTTTCTGAGCCTCAATTTCTTTGCCTGGAAAATGTGGAAAATCACAATATTTTAACATGACTTTTTTGAGGAGTGGATGAGATAATATATGTGCAGGGCCTGGCAATTAATTCTTATAAATCATATTTCACATTAGAGAAGGAGGGTTAGGAATCTGTGATGTACTGAGGTAGGTCCAGGTGCACGGTGTGGGCAGGAAATGGATTCTAATCAGGTGAAGTAAGAACAAAATGAAGGGGGAAAGAGACCTGGGCATGTTCTTAGGCTCAGAGGAAGGAGGAGTAGCAGGGATGGAGAGGCTGGGGGCCGAGAGGATGAGGAATGATTTGGAAAGGAATAGTCAAGGGTGGTCACCATGGGTGTTTCCAGAGAACACTCAGAGGTGGGACTTGGCAGTGTACGTGGCCAGTGTACTGAAGTGGAAAGAATGGACCTTCCAAGGAGGCCAACCGTAGCTCTAATCCCAGTCCTGTAATTTACTGACAGTAAGATCCCAGGCAGTCTCCAATTCCTGAGTTCAGGCCATCCAGCCGCCTCAGCCTCCCAAGGTGCTAGGACTACAGGCGTGAGCCACCACACCCGGCCTTTATTTCCCAATCTTCTTTGCATTCAGTGTGGCTGGATGACTGCGTTCTAGTCAATGAAACGTGAGCATAAATTATCCTTGCCAATTCCAGCCTGGCCCACGAAAACCACCTTCATGCTCCTCCATCCTCTTGCCATGTGAGCTGGATGCATAGGATCCAGGAAAAAATACTGATGCCCCAGTGGAGGACAGAGCTGCCAGAAGAAGATTCAGATGGAACCCTGAATTGCCATGTGCTCCACCACCTGCTTATAACTGGTTTTAAACTGTTACATGAGACCGAAATCAAAATCTGTATCAGGGCAGTGCCTGTGGCTCAGTGGTAGGGTGCCGGCCCCACATATTGAGAGTGTCAGGTTCAAACCCAGCCCTGGCCAAACTGCAACAAAAAAATAACCAGGCATTGTGGCAGGTGCCTGTAGGCCAAGCTACTCAGGAGGCTGAGGGAAGAGAATCACTTAAGCCCAAGAGCTAGAGGTTGCTGTGAGTTGTGATGCCACAGCACTCTACTGAGGGCAATAAAGTGAGATTCTGTCTCTACCAAAAAAAAAAAATCTGTATCATAAAGCCCTTGAGTTTGTGTATTACAGCAGCTGACCTATTCAAACACAATGATATTACCTGTATAAGTGAGTTGTTGGTAAAATTAAATTGTAAAACATATAAAAAATCTTTCACCTCATAATAAATGTTTAATATATTAACTCATTACGTAAACATTTCTTAAACACCTACTGTGTGCTAGGCACATTAATGTAAACAAAGCCTACTGTCATCGAGTTTATTGCAGATGAAGAGAAAGGAAGAATCAATAAACATTTCTGGCATACAGGACTTGAAGAATGGTAGCACCACCGGCAGAAAGGGTGACGTTAGGAAGTGGAAGACATTTTCTGAAGAAGGGTGAGGAGTTTGGGCTTCAGACATTTGAGAAAGCAATAATAATCGCCTCTGTTAATATAACCTTTGAAAATTTATGGAATATGTACAAACAAACACTCATATATGTTTTAACCATCATAACAAAAAATCTAGAGGAGCATTTACCAACGGTATATTGTCTAAAACCTCTAGTAGAATGTAAGCTCCACAGGGTAGGAATGGTTCTTATCCCATTATTCACCTTTAGAAGCTGTTTGCCTGTGATGAATGCATTTAATTGAAATGAATTGAGAGCTCTCAACTCCTATGTTTTATGGGTAGTACTTTCATTAATTCAAGCTATGTTTGCAAAAGTACTCTATGATATGATAAAGCATTACACAAATGTTTCTGTGGGAGGATAATATTTTGAGTTGGGATTTCACCTTTGTGTACTCCCCATTTGAGCAGCTGACCCTGTGTTTGTCTCTGTGGAACAGTGTGATTCTGCAGGTGGCATTTGGGGACCCTGCCAGTTGGCCACACTGGCTGTTTATGGAAAGCAACTGTTCTCATTGGTTGTAGCATCTGTTCTGATTGCTCAGTGCTGTGTCATACTGGTTATTAAATTCTTTGCATATCATTACTGTACACATAGTTGGAAGGCAGAGAGAATCTAGAAGTTTTTTGTTTGTTTTGTTTTGTTTTTGAGACAGAGCCTCAAGCTGTCTTCCTGGGTAAAGTGGTATGGCATCACAGCTCACAGCAACCTCCACCTCCTGGGCTCAAGCGATTCTCCTGCCTCTGCCTCCCAAGTAGCTGGGACTACAGGCACCCACCTCAAGGCCCAGCTATTTTTTGATTGCCGCTGTCATTGTTGTTTGGCAGGCCCCGGCTGGATTCGAACCTGCCAGCTCAGGTGTATATGGCTGGCGCCTTAGTCGCTTGAGCCACAGGCACCAAGCCTGAAGTTTTTTTTGAAACTGAATATCTCTGTCACCTGGGCTAGAGTGCCCTGGTATTATCATGGCTCATTGCAACCTCAAACTTTTGGGCTTAAGCAATCCTCTTGCCTCAGCCTCCCAAGGAGCTAGGATTACCAGTGTGCACCATCATAGCTAATTTTTTCTACTTTTAGTAAAGATGGGATCTCACTCTTGCTCAGGCTGATCTTGAACTCCTGAGCACAAACGATCCCCCCACCATGGCCTCCCAGAGTGTTATGATTACAGGGGTGAGCTACTGCTGGCTGGCAGAAACTGAAAACTTAGTAGCCTGTTTCTAAAGCCCCGATTTGAAAAGAGAAAACGGAAAGAGGATTTCAGTATGGAAAAAGAGTCTTTTGGCACTAAAAATAAGGGAATTTATCTGAGATTAGAAAGAAATTCTGTAGTGTGGGGAGAAAAGATGGGACAGGGAGCCCTCTGCTCTGTTTCCTGGGTATGCAGCCGGGAAGGCAGCAGGATCCCAGGGAGAGAAGAGACCTGTGTGGTGTGTCTTAGCAGTGGTGTTCTTACAGACTCCTATATTCTTAGTCTGATACAAAAGTAGCAGATAAACTAGATTCAAAGAGTGATATGAATGGCTTAGCGAGTATATCTCAGCAGGAGGATAGGTGGACCAGTAAGCATCAGAACCTCCTTCTCCTGCCCACCACCCAGAGACTTTAGCACTACGTGAGATTCTAGAACTGTGACACAACTTTGTGAAGAATAGCAGGGTATGAGGAGAGGTAGGACTCCAAGAAGGAGGGAGATTTAGTTTGCTATTACCCCAGTAGGATAGCAACCTGAAAGAGAAATTAATTTGATCTGGGGCCAGGCATGGTGGCTCAATCCTGTAATCCCAGCACTCTGAGAAGCTGAGGCATGTGGATTGCCTGAGCTCACAGGTTGCAGACCAGCCCAAGCCAGAGTAAGACCTGGTCTCTGAAAATAGCTGGGCATTGTCGTGGGTGCCTATATTCCTAGCTATTTGGGAGGCTAAGGCAAGAGAATTGCTTGAGCCCAAGTCTTTGAGGTTGCTGTGACCTGTGATGCCAGGGCACTTTACCGAGGGCAACAAAGTGAAACTGTCTAAAAAAAAAAAAAAAACAAAATTAATTTTGCCTAAAAATAAAGTGGTATTTCTTTTGCACCTGAATTTGTGGTTATGATTCACGCTTGTAACTTTCTTTGCAATTTATAGCCAGAGCTTTCTTTGCTTCATAATTGAATTTAGAATTTATTTTCCACCCCTTCAAATCTCAATTTTATTCTCTCAAGAGACAAGGACACCAAGGATTAGACTGTCCTCTGCAGGTGACCACATGCTCACCCCAGCCCCCATCCACTGTAAAGATAGACCTTGTGAGTTTCATTAATCTTTTTACTCATTCATTCATAAATGTTTACTGAGCACTTGTTTAGCCTTGGGACAGAACAAGGATAGAGGTTCCTGCTTTTCATGTTCTGGAGGAAAATACAGACAAACACAACAGCAGTGGCACACAGGGTGGCCGGGGCTGTAGTTTAGGCAAATACTCTGTGGGAGGTGACACCCTTCAGGGCTTTCCTTTGCAAAGTTGAGGGCAAACCTCAATGTAAAGTGCTCTGCCACACCCTAGTGTTGAATTTGTCTCATTTCAGGAGCCTCAGGTACCCACTTAAGAGGTCCCTATGGGGGTCTTGAAGCCCATTGAGACCCACAATAGTCTGTTTTCTTTCTTTCTTTCTTTTTTTTAAAATAAGAGACAGACTCTTACTTTACCACCCTTGGTAGAGTGCTGTGGCATCACAGCTCACAGCAACCTCCAACTCCTGGGCTTAGACCATTCTCTTGCCTCAGCCTCCCAAGTAGCTGGGACTACAGGCAGCCGCCACAATGCCCAGCTATTTTTGTTGTTGTTGCAGTTTGGCAGGGGCCAGGTTTAGACCCACCACCCTCAGTATATGGGGCCAGCGCCCTATCCTCTGAGCCACAGGCACTACCCAGTAGTCTGTTTTCTTACCTGATAGACAGATAACATTACTTTCAGAACTCACTTTTAAATTGATGACAAAGTTATACTAGAACTTATCACAAAACCATATTAAATTTTTTCTCACTTAAATTTATTGGCTGAATATCTTCACTGTCCTCATGATTTCTGGTTCTTATTTTCTTGATGCACACAATGTATTCACCCTCCTTTGGATTTTCTGCTCATCTCAGACACCCCCTGAGTTACTCTCTGCTCAACTACAATCTCCAAAGTATTTCTTCTAGGCTGGATTTTAATCCTCCCTTCCTCCCCCCCCACTCTCAACAGAGTCTCACTCAGTCACCCTGGGTAGAGTGCCGTGACATCATAGCTCACAGCAATCTCAACCTCCTGGGCTCAAGCAATCCTCTTGCCTCACCCTCCTGAGTAGCAGAGACCACAGGCACCTGCCACAATGCCCAGCTAGTTTTTTTCTATTTTTAATAGAGATGCGGTCTTGCTCTTGCTCATCTGATCTTGAAATTCTTAACTCAGGCCTACTCCCTTCTCAGCCTCCCACAGTGTGAGGATTACAAGTGTGAGCCACTGAGCCTGGCTTGAGTTTAACCTTCCTTAATCTCACACACACGAAGTCGCATTTCCTCTCACTCGTTTGTCTTTTGGGTTCTTCACGTGGGTCCCCACACCTGCCTCTGCCCCCTCCTCCTCTGCTGTGTTAGGCAGGGGGCTCTTCTCTGTCTGGCAGATCTCAGGCACACCTTGCTTTCACCAACTTTGCTACAAGAGAAACTTTAGATGACTAGAAATAATCGCTAAGAGAGAGCTTGGGTCACTTTTATAATAATAATCCTTTAAGGAATAAAACATCCCTTCTTGGTATGTCAGGCTGTATCATAAGCAGTAATAGACTCTAGAATTAGAGGATATTAAGTCCAAAAAAGAAAGAAATTCACAGGATCATAGGTTTTCCTTAAGTGATGTGGTGGCCAGTGACAAAATTAACCATGAATCTGTAGCCCTGAGATCTTTCATCTCCTCTCCATTTGTCTGCCTCTTCTCATGCCCTGTCCTCCCCCAACCACATTTTGCCCCATCCTGATTATGAAAGCAAGGTGAAAAGAACCACAAGTTTCATTTCTTAATGAGCACACTTTATTCATGTCTCTAATTCTAACTATTATTCATTTTTCTTGATCAAGGAAATCACTCTTTATTTTGCAGAAAAAAACTTGGAGACATGTAGAAATTCAGTTTGGAACTTCCCTGGACACAATTCAGAGGGTGACCGAGGGAAGGGCTTTAGTGGATTGCTGTGGTTTGGCAATGAGAGGCTGGGAAAGTTCGCTTCAGGAAGAGGAAGGACTTCACCTGTTTTTAGGGGAGGCAGCTGGTAAACATATCCAATGGGTCTGCAGTGAAAGGGGAAGTGTCTGTTACCTGGGCCTTTTCCTTCTGAGTGCCTATGTGGTGGGCCATGGCCATGGTGATGGTGATCTTGGGGATCTTGGCTCTGGAGTGTTGGGTCACAGGATCCTTCACAATGGAAATCTTGGCCACAGGGGTGGTGTCCATGGGGGTGGTGTCCACGGGGTCCATGTCCACGGGGACGGTGTCTGTGGGGATGTTGTCCATGGGGATGGTGCTTATGGGGATGGTGCTCATTGGAACTGTGATCATGGAACCCATTGGTACCAACAGGGTTGTGATGACATCTTGACCCTGGAGGGGGAAATCGTGGAGGCTCTTCTCCTTGAAATGGAGGTCTTCCTGAGGGATCTTTTCCTTCCAGGGGAGGTGGGCATCCCAGTTCATGTGGCCTGTGGTGATGACCTCTGGCTCCATGAGGCTTAAATGGAGGCCTGCCACCAGGAAAATGCCCATGCCCACCAAAGTGGGGGTGGTGGCATGGGTGGAGATGTACACCACTCATGTTCCTACGATCCTGATAACAGACACGGAAAGGGAATATTATCACATAACACAAAAGGAGAAGTTAGATCTTTAACTTGATGTAGACCGAAGGCTCCCAGGTTTTGGATTCCACAAATCGATAGAAAAAGCAGGATAACAACAAAAAAGAACTTGTCAAATTTTTGTCTAGTAAAGTTGACATCTAAAATACAACTGTCGTCTACCAACATCATTTCAGAAAATAATAACATGTAGATAACAACAAAGTCGGGCGGCACCTGTGGCTCAAAGGAGTAGGGCGCCAGCCCCATATGCTGGAGGTGGCAGGTTCAAACCCAGGCCCGGCCAAAAAAAAACAACAACGAAAAAAGTCAGAAAGACAATTTCAGAGTACTGATTAGTCCTTTGGATGAATTTAATGTTTTATACGAAAAGCTTTATTATCCTTATTTCAATAGAAATTGGTGAAAATATATTTTGAAATGGCGTCCATCTTCAGACCAACATTTGGAAAATGAGTGACTTATAATTGATGTTCTGTAAAGAGTTCTGAGTGTTGATGATACCCATATGCCTTCCTCTAAAAGGTGAGAGCACCTGGCCTCTTTCCTCTCCTCCTAGTTCAGAGTTTAACTTTTTTTTTTTTATAAGATAGATTCTCATTATGTCACCCTCGGTAGAGTGCTGTGACATCACAGCTCACAGCAACCTCAAACTCTTGGGCTCAAGCAATTCTCTTGCCTCAACCTACCAAGTTGCTGGAACTATAGGCACTCGCCACAGTGCTTGGCTATATTTTGTTGCAATTGCCATTGTTGTTTAGCTGGTCCAGGCTGGGTTCAAACCTGCCAGCCTCAGTGTATGTGGCTGACACTGTAATCACTGTACTATGGGTGCCAAGCTAGAGTTTAACTTTTAAAAATCTATAGATGCAGGCTGGGCACAGTGGTTCACATCTATAATCCTAGCACTATGGGAGGCTAAGGTGGGTGGATTGCCTGTGACCAGTATAAGCCAGAGTGAGACCTCATCTCTAAAAAGAGCTGGGCATTGTCCTGGGCACCTATAGTCCCAGCTACTTGGGAATCTGAGGCAAGAGAATCAATTAAGCCCAAGAGTTTGAGGTTGCTGTGAGCTATGATGTCACAGCACTCTATCCAGGGTGACAAAGTGACACTCTTTCAAAAAGAAAAAAAAAAATCTATACCTCCGTGTTCATGGTGACTAACCTGCCTTTTTTTCTTCCTTTTTTTTTGGCTTGGAGCGCAGTTAGTTCATTTTTTTTTTTTCTGATATGAAACATTCTGTGAGAAAATCTTTGCGCTCATCCATAAAACTGAACAAAGATTTCTGGACCAGATACAAAATATTGCTTTGCATCTTATTTTATATACTTTTGTATAACACCTTTGAGTCTAATTTGTTCCCGTTAGGACCTATGCCTAATAGTAAAAGCCAGGAGTTACTAAATCTCAGGATTAGAGTCCTACATAGAAGGACCATATTCAAATTCATTCCAAGCCAATTGAATTAGTCATGATTTCACTTTTCGGCCAAATTTTAGCCCTCCCTAACTCTTGGAAAAGTTTTCACACTTTCTGTGCCATACCAGCAATTTCACTTCTTTCCCAGGGGTGTCACATCCCTGTGTCTCTGTCTCCATTTGTTTCTCTTACACCCCCCCCCACACACACACAGCTGTAGGGAACATAGTAAGGACTATGTGTGTAAAAATATCACATAATCTGACATTTTCACAAGAAACTCAAGCAACCCACCTCGGTGTCGAATACTTCACAATTCACATCAAGTTCTTTTGGGGTTTCAAAGTCAGAGTCTTCTGCATCATAGGATAAAACTGCCCTGCAGAATCCAAAGACCTATGAAAGAGAGATAAGCCTGTTAGTGTCTGGGTGTGTGTGTGTGTGTGTGTGCGCGCACGCACACACACACGCTCACGTGCCTGCGGTTGGGAAGAAGGTTCCCCAGCCAGATTTGTAAACTTCCAGATATTCAGGAAAGAAAGAACAGCCTCAGAAAAAAATCAAGGTAAGATTATCAGATACTCCCACCAGTTATTAAAAAATCTTTCATGGTCAACGCTTTGGGGGACGTGAAGTGCAGATTTCACGGTTCCCATTTCAAGAGGCTGAGGTTCCTACCAGCCGTGAGCAGTCCTTACCAGCAGGGCTGGCCTTGGTAAGGAGACCCACATCATTGCTGCCTTGCCCTTACGCCAACCCTTTTGCAGAAGACCTGGCTTGCCTGTGCTGAGAGAGAATGAGGAATGGTGTAAGAGAGGGATTTTACAACTTTAACTGGTTCCTAGGAAGGAAGTGTTGGGAAGGAGGAACCCCTAGACAGAAGGATTTGCAAGGACCCTGTCAGGGAAGTGTCTGCAGGCTCCACCCTAAATACCAGGGCTGCAATGTCTGGCCTGCCTTCCTCCAGAGGCCCCTCCACCCAGCTGTCAAAGTTAGACTAGGACAAGAGGATGAGTCTTCCTTAGAAGAGACTGTTAAGCATTGAGATTCTCGCCACAGTTTGGGTATCAGATATGTCGATCTGGCTTCACCATGGGCTAGTTGTGTGAGACTAGTCAAGTTACCCAAAATTTCTGAAATTCGGTCTTTATAAAATGGGATAATACTGTCTACTCAGAGGTTATGGGAGGACTTCATTAAATGAGATGATGCTGTAACAACACTTAGCCCTGAGCCCACTCTCCTCCAGCTCCTGTGGTTCTCCCCTGGCTTACATTCCTCACACAAAGATAGTTAAGGGGAAGGAAATGTCTTTTCGGGTTGCCATGGGCAAGGATTCTAAAACTGGATAAGGTTGAAACTTTGAACAGCCAGAAAAGAAGCCAACAAATTTTAATAGTTTTTCCCTTTTGGCCAGGGAGAATATGTTATCAAATCAGAAAAATCCTGGACTTGAAATTAGAACTAAAATTCCATATGCTAACACTTTTTAGCTCAAATTCCCTTAAGTAAGTGGTTCAAATTCTAGGAGGCAGACACCTGCATTCCTTCTCGGCAGGATGGTGGTGAGGCTCTAACCACGCAGTGATGTAGGTGGTGGTGTTTTGTAAACTGTACGTGGCCATGCAAATGTCAAGCGTCAGGAGCTACATCTTGCGGGTACGCAGGAATCAATTTGTAAATAATTAGGGTCAAATCCCACTGGACTGGCCATGAGAATAACAGGATTCTAATCTCAGCTCAGACGTGAACCTGTGGGAGACCCTTCCTTTTCTGAACTTCAGTTACCTGCTTGTTTGTCAAATAGGATCTGCAGGTGTCGGTGGGATGGAATGAATGGAGCACTTGGTGTGTGGGTCTTAATACAGGCTGGTTGTTAGTTTTAGCTAAACCTTTCATTCCAATTGTTAAAAAAAAAACAAAACTCAGTTTTAAATTGAGATATGTATCGTGCGCATTATAAAATTAAATTCTCATAATTCAGTTAATTTCTCAGTGGCCTGGATTTTTCATCTGGAAATTTGGGATAAAAATAGTCTCTAGCTCATAAGGTGGATTGAGGGTTAATGAGTTAACTTATGTGTAAAGCGTTTAGAAGAGGGCCTGGCCATTATTCACCACTCAGGAGTGTGGAACCTGTGGCCTGCGGGCTGCATGCAGATTATTTGAGGACTGTTTTGCTTATCCTTGGTGCACAGACCTTCTTTTTGGCTCATCAGCTTTCATTGGTGTTAGTGTATCTAATGTGTGGCCCAAGGCAACTCTTATTCTTCCAACGTGTGGCAGAAAAGAAATGACTAGCCAGCCGTGCTAGCTGCTTGCCATTTTACAGACGTGTTATACTCACCTTAGGGTGTCTGTGGAAATGGTGCCTGGAGCAGTTCCTCACAGAGAATTCCACATAGTAATTGGTTCTTTCCCCTCCTCTCTAGACAGAGGGGATCAAAACAGTTTCAGGAACAAAGAAAGAGGGGAGGAAAGAAACACGTATCTACTAGCCAGGAAAGTGTAAAGCACTGGGAGGATTCAAAGTCAACAATACGTGCCATTTGTCCTATGGTTTCTGCCTTTTGAAAATAGATCACCTGGCTTGGCGCCCATAGCATAGTGGTTGATGCCGGCCACATACACCGAGGGTGGTGAGTTCAAACTCGGCGCAGGCCAGCTAAACGACAATGACAAATGCAACAAAAAAATAGCCAGGTAGTGTTATATGCACCTGTAGTCCCAGCTACTTGGGAGGCTGAGGCAAGAGAATCACGTAAGCCCAAGAGTTTGAGGTTACTGTGAGCTGTGACGTCACAGCACTCTAGCGAGGGCAACATAGTGTCTCAAAATAAATAAATAAGTAAATAAATAAATATTGATCGCCTAAGGGAAAAGGTGAGTACTGCCATTTCACTCACCTGTGAATCAAAGATTCAGATCATACAGACATAATCAAGTACAGTGTGAAAACTCACCCTTCCTGCACCCCAACGTCTCCTTCCCACAGGTACAACTATCACTCATTTCATGTGTTTCTCTTTTTAGCCTTTTCCCAGATGCATTACACGTATACACAGACATCTAAAGATTTGGTATAAATGGGCCATGTTCTGAACTTGTTCAGTAACCTGCTTTTCCCCTTAACTTGGAAAGAGTTTTGAAACTCATCCCAATACACACGGATCCAAAGTATTCCTTTCAGTAACTGCATTGTATTCGCTTTGGTGCTCATACAAACCGTAATCTATCTAACTTTGTATCTTCAAAGTGCAGACATCTGCTCTACAAGACAGTTCTGGGTCGGAGGCTCTTGGGTCTTTGGACAGTGAGGCAAGGCTGTCTACCTCCAGCCCCACCTATGGGTGTGAGGAGAGAATTTCTTTGAGTCTCATGTTTCCATCCTAATACGAGGAGGTTAATATTGGATAATTTTTTAGGACAGGGTCCTGCTCTGTTGCTCAGGCTAGAGTGCAGTGGTGTCATCTTAGCTCAATGCAAGCACAAACTCCTGGGCTAAAGCGACCCTCTTACCTTAGCTCTCGAGTAGTTGGGACTACAGGTGTGCACCACCATGCCCCGCTGATGTTTCTAATTTTTGTAAAGACAGAGTCTCCTTCTTGCTCAAGCTGGTCTCCAACTCCTGGCCTTAGCCTGGGCCTCTCAGAGTGCCAGGATTACAGGCATGAGCCACCACACCCAGCCAGTATTGGATAATTTTTTATGACTCCCATGACCTTACTGTGCTGTTTTCCCTCTTTCCTTCTGGCATGTTCTCTCCTCTCTGCCACGTACCTACTCCCATCCCCACGCATACACTCTCTAAAAACAAGAACTCGCCAAGGGCAGCTCTTTGGTACCTGCTGGCTGTCTATTATGGCCCTAAAAGCTGCAACAGGTTCTCACTTTAGAAACAGCTGGTTATTTGACATAGGTAGAGAGGGCGTGTCATTCAGTTCATGCCTGCCAGGTGGGAGCCTGGGCCCTCCGACCTGGACAGAGTGGAGACTCACCTCTCTTGTAACTTTCTCTACTTGGTTCACTCTGAAAGAGGCAAAACCGTCATTCCTCTCTTTGTACTTCTCAAGGGCTTGGTCGGCTTTATTTCTGTAGGGCTCCGCATCCTCAAAGAAATCTGCGATTACGGGACTGTCTTTGTTATTGAACAGTGCTGAAGAGACTAGAAAGAGAAGATGGGAGTGTCTTGGTTACAGAGTGGGGGAGTGGGAAAAGACAGTTGTGTCAAAAATAACAATAACATCCGTTTTACAGATGGGAACATCAAGTGTTGGGGAAACTAAGTAACTTGTTTGCAATCAGTTCAGCAGTGGCAGAGCGGAACTGTAGACCCTTCCTTCTGACCTTCTGATGCCCAGGTCTCTGCTGTGACCCCTCTTTCACGATGCCCTCACCACTAACCCTCACAAAGGGCCAATATTTTCATAAAATTTTTCCCAGAGACAGGAAAAGATACAGCTCAACCTTTCTTAGACGACAACCTGCTACAGAATTTGCTTGGCTGTTGAATTTTTTTATATTAAATCATATTAAGATTTGCTTTTTTTTTTTTTTTTTTTTGAGCCAGAGTCTCACTATGCTACCCTCCGTAGAGTGCTGTGGGATCTCAGCTCATAGCAGCCTCAAACTCTTGGGCTCAAGCAATTCTCTTGCCTCAGCCTCCCCAGTAGCTGGGACCACAGGTATCTGCCACAACACCCGGCTATTTTTTTTTGTTGTTGTTGTTGTTTAGCAGGCCCGGGCTGGGTTTGAACCCACCAGCCCTGGTGCACGTGACCCACACCCTAACAACTGAGTCACGGGCACCGTGCCCAGATTTGCTATTTTTATTTATTTATTTATTTTTATTAAATCATAGCTGTGTACATTAATGCAATCATGGGGTACGGTGTGCTGGTTTTATATACACTTTGAAATATTTTCACCAAACTGGTTAACATAGCCTTCGTGGCATTTTCTTAGTTATTGTGTTAAGACATTTATATTCTACATTTAGAAAGATTCACATGTACCCTTGTAAGATGGACCATAGGTGTGAACCCACCAATCACCCTCCCACCACCCGTCCTCCCCCCTCCCCTCCCCTCCTTCTCCCCTGTATTTTTTGAAGAAATTCTGTGATCATTCATTTTGAAAACGTAAATAAAAGAGCATGTGTTTAGAGTTAACCCGGAATTGGGTTATGTCCAAGGCCAAGTCATTAAAAATATTTGAGCCTCAATTATTTTATCTCTGATATAGAAAGTAGCATAATCTTTACCAGGCATCCTCAAACTATGGCCTGCAGCCATGTGCGGCCCACCTAGGACATGTATCCGGCCCGCTGGGTGTTTTTCCCACCACTGCCTTTCATGCTTAGCAGCCGACTTGTCCGGGGACCCAGAGTCCGGCCCTCCAACGGTCTGAGGGACAGTGTTCTGGCCCCCTGTTTAAAAAGTTTGTGGACCCCTGATTACTTTATAGCCTTGCTGTGAAGTTAAATGAGATGATATAAACAAGTGCTTTGAAAACTGTTGATAACACACAGCTTTTAAATGTTAAGGTCAATATTTGTTGAGTGTGAAGCTTGCTCCACCAAGTGTCCACAGTAGGCCAGCCTGTTTAATTCTAATAAGAATCCTAAAAGCTAATGTTCTTGTTATCCTCATTTGACACATGAGAAAAGCTTACAGAGGTTAAGTAACCTACTCTGAAGATTACAGAACTAGTAAATGAGGTTGGGATTCAAAGTAAAACAAGTCAGACTCCCAAGCCTGTCTCTCTACAATACAGCTGTACGACTTCTCTTAAATCCCTATTTTCATGCATTGAATTTCTTTAAAGATGTACCTGAAAAGCAAGCATCACATGTACTCAATACCGATTTGAAACTAGGAGATTAATAACGACAGACCCGCAAAAGAGAAAAATCTAAATTAATATCAAGAAGTGAGGCCAGATGTGGTGGCTCACACCTGTAATCCTAGCACTCTGGGAGGCCAGGTGGGTGGATTGCCTGAGCTCACGAGTTCAAGACCGGCCAGAGAGTTATGGCAGGCACCTGTAGTCCCAGCTGCTTGGGAGGCTGAGGCAAGAGAATTGCTTTAGCCCAAGAGTCGAAGGTTGCTGTGAGCTGTGACTCCACCATACTCTATCAAGGGCAACAAAGTGAAACTCTGTCTCCAAAAAATAAATAAATAAATAAAGAAGTGGAGGAGATGAGATTCAGTAGCTTCCCACGCAATGGATATAGGGCACACTCCCTGGTGATAGGACACAGCTACAACTCTGATTTTACTTGTCATGTGTAAATTATATAACCAATACCCCCTCCCTTAAAAAGTTAAGATGTGCCAGTCACCAGGGAAAGCTGTGTCCCTTGTGTTCTCAGGAGAGTCAGTAATATAACAGTGCCCAAGAGGGCAGAGACCTTCGTGTCACGAACCTCATGGTATTTCGTGAGGAATAGCACTCTCTGATTGACTTGTGTGCTAACCTAGAGATGATGAGCGATTTAACACATTACCATACCGGAGCTCTTGGTGCAGTTAAAGTCCTCCAGCCTAAGATCCTGAGAGTCACTTGAATTTCTCGTAACTATGACCTTACACTGTCCCATCACCTGTAAGAGAGAGGGTTTTGAGTCCGTGCGGGGTCAGCACACACTGCTTTCCTCGGGCTGCAAATGAGAGGACAAAAAGGTGACACGCCACACTTCCACGTCCAGGGTATTGGGGTTCCCTTCACCAAGCCCTTTTGCAAAGCTTCTCTCCAAACTTGCGTTTTCTTAGTCTGTTTCCATGAGCTGCCTAATATTGGCACCCCGATTCCTCAAGATAACCAGGGAGAAACTGCTTGAGGGGTCACGACCATATCCCACACATTTTCAAGGGAAAAGGAGGCAGAACTCCTAGGTGTATAAACCTCTTGTTTTCTGACAATGGAATCTTGCATCAGTGCTTGTCTTTGTGTTCTCTTCCTGCCAGAGAGGATAGCACTGGAGTCGAACACGCAGAGCAAGGCCCATTCCTCCCTGCCTGTGCCGTGTTCAGAGCAAGACCCATTCCTCCCTGCACCTAACCCCTTCGGCCATTTCTATCACAGGACTGGTGCTTGGACACAATCACAACTTCACAGATTGTTAGACACATAGGCTGTCAGGGCTGAAAGACCCTTAGGGTCCATGGGCTCCAAGACTCTCCTTTCACTTTACAGTTGAAAACACTGAAGTGTAGTAACATTATTAGATGAACTGGCCTAACAACTCACCACTGGTCCTGCTATCCCATGGTGCTACCATCCCTGCTGACATAGTTTGAGCTGGAGTCCCTAAAATGGCTCTCAAGAGTATTACTCAAGATCAGCTTAACCTTCATGAGCCGCAGGAAGCTGCTGAATCTTCTGTTGCGTTACCCCAGGTATGTGGCCAGCCTGAGTCAGTGGAGCAGGTAGAAGGGAGGAACGGTAAGAGGAGAGAATTGTACCCTGGGTACTTACTATATCAGGTAGAACTCTAGAAACAGTCGGCTCGCAGTCCTTCCAGGGTTTCCTGGAGAGGGTCAAGCATTCAGATTCTTTTATATCCAAGAGTAGGTAATAGACTGTCGCAGATCCCTGAGGAAGACCAAGAAAGCAGCAGGTGAGTAACATGTGGGCACCTAGAGGATTTTTCTTAGTTAGTTGTATCTTTATTTCCTAAACAGAGTTACTGTCTCCCCATCTTTGCGGATGTCCTATATTTGTGACATTAGATCTATTCATTTGAATAAATGCCTTCAGTTATTTCCAAACATTCGTTTTAAGTGGCCGTGCTGTTTCTTCTAGCCACAAACTTTAAACAGGTATGAGTCATTAGCAGTGATGATTTGGGTGGAGGTGTTGAAGGTGCACAGCTATAACTGCAGGTGAGGACGGCCACATCACGGCCTCCAGTCCCTACTTGCCATTTCATCCCAGCACCCAGTTTGATTCCTGAACTCGGATTTCGGCCTCCATTTCAATTTGCTGAAACTGATAACGCACCTTCTTCTCTTACAACCCAGCTGCCTCTCCCATCGTCCCTCGTCTTTGTCAGGGGCACCATTAATTACTTATTGCTTTAGACTCTTCTTAAAACTGCCGACTGGGCGGTGCCTGTGGCTCAAAGGAGTGGGGTGCCGGCCCCATATGCTGGAGGTGACAGGTTCAAACCCAGCCCCCACTAAAAACTGCAAAAAAACAAAACAGAAAAACTGCAGACCATCTTTGTTTTTTCGTCCCCTTGCCTTTGCTATCCGCTGAGCAGGGCCCGAGCAGTGTGGCTTCTCGATCTCCCTCATGCTCCCCCCTCCTGATTCTCACTGGTCTCATCTCAGGGCCTGGTCTGGCCCTCATTTCCTCATCTGAATACACAAAGGGGCCTCCTAGCCCATGTTCCTGTCACCTGCCTGCTGCCAAGCACAGCGTGAGGGAGTATGCCCACCCACCCACTATCCATGCCACCACTCAGAGGAGGCACTGCGCCAACACACCTATGTCCTGCTCATGTGGTGACAGCCAGGGATGGGACTGATGGTGCCATGCCAAATGCCTGTGCTTCTGTCCTCTGCCACCTGCACTGCCTGCCTCCCTCCACTGAACCAGGGTCAGGGGCTCTCTTGTCCTCTGTGGTGCTCCACACTCTGCCTCCATAACTCGGGGTGTCCCATGCATGGGAGTAGGCAAGTTGTTTCGGGGAAGGGGGAGGGAGACTTTAACTCTGACCCTCAAATCCAGTCCAGTTAAGCATATGGTCTGAGTGAAGGCAGGAGGCTGGCTTGGCTTCAGGATAAACCCACAGACTCTCTTCCAACCTGATGGTTGCTCCAGAGCCCACCCGGAGCTTCTAGAATCCCCCCTGCTTATGTCCCAGTACTTCCTAACACCCTTCCTCCTGACTCCCTCCCCACCCGGAGGTGCTGTGCCTGAGATTCACTTGGAAAGCCTTTACATGGCCCTCTCCATAACTGCTTTTTGTTGTTGTTGTTGTTGTTGTTGTTTTTTGTTTTGAGACAGAGTCTCACTCAGTCACCCTGGGTAGAGTGCCATGGCACTGTAGCTCACAGCAACCTCAAACC